TTTCAGTGCATTGCTGCTGTTATAACAGCATTTTCTTTGCCAGTTAACATCAGTGCAAATGGCAGCAGGGAGAGAAAGAAGAAGAGAACATTTATATTGCCTAGAATGTGACAGGATTTTTTTCCAAGTGTCTAATTAACCTGCATTACTGTACCAGCGTTCAGTTTAGGCTCTGGAATTACTTTACATCTTTTACATACATTTTTTTTTGCTAATTAAGAAATTATACAGAAACAGGAAAGGGCTTTTTGGTGTTTGTGGTTCTTGTTATTTTGGAATATAAGGTATAAACAACATTTGCATATTACAGCTGGATAGAGGACACAGCACATTGTTGTCTTGAGTCTTGAATTAGGAATCAATATATACTGTGTCTGTGTATATATATGAATGTATGTACAAAAAATGTGAAGACGATCTGAACACTTAAAAACGGTCAATACAGAAAATGTGACTGCTATTCCAATCTATAAGTGGAAGAGTAAGTGGGATTCTACTCTTCCTGAAAGCATCCCACAATGTTATCTGACAAAAAATCCCGTGTGCATAAATTGATAATGACTGCGCTGTGATTTTGGTCATATGTAAATAATTACTTACAGACCCTCTCCCATCTCCTGCCCATTATCATACCACTTCCCCCTTCAGAACTTCGCTACAAGGGGTAGTGGTTTGTGTCTAAGCCCACAACAAGGGACTACCATTCAAAAATGTGATGTCATCAGCTGCCCCATTTCCTACACAGGCAGAAGTTGAAGTCAGGCAGAAGTCAGAGTGATTAATGAGGATGGAAGATAATGATCAGGCGTTGTACGATATATGATCAGAGTTGGACCTTATCACAAGCTTGAGCCAATCAAACAGATGTGTTCAAAGCTAGCAGATATGAGAGCATTTATTCTCACTTCTTCATCCATCTTCCACCACTCAATACCTTTTTAGCACAAGGGCCGGCCAATCACAGGAGTCATCTGGTGTGGCTGGCTTAGTCGCACTCACCATTTACCGTTCACACTCACACACAAAACTATGGGCAGAATCATCATTTTCCCATTTCAATGTTTCATATAATCATCTTCAAGCAGCTTCAAGAACATCAAGAACATCTATTGAAAAGATTTTTGGTATTTGGCTCACAACGACATTTACCCTCTGACTGAGAAGCAGCACAGAGGGCAAGTAGCTCACCAACACTGATTATCACCCAGTCAAAGTCAAGTCTGTTTAAATGCTTCTACACACAATTCCATTCTGTTCAGCGAATGACTGCAAAAGAAATTCCCATGCTTTTTTTCTTTTCTTTCTTTCTTTTTTTTTTGTTTTTTTTTTGCTGCGGGCTTCCATATGAATCAGCTTAGTTTTTCCAGCCACAAGCCAGTCTTTAGTCAACAACAGTTCCTAGCAGGTCTGGTAAGCTCCAACCCCACTGTATCATTACCCAAACACTGGTTAGAGATGACACTTCAGAGCAGCGAGGAGCTCGTAGTCAGTCTGTAGCAACCGGCAATCAACAACAACACAAGAACAGCATGGGAAAACCAACGCCGTACCAAAATGTTACCAGCCTTCCTGCAGATGTCTCATGCAGCTTGTATCTTTGTATAGGCTTATATGACATCCAGTGACTAACACTTCATTGGCTGCCAGCTGCTTTCAGAGAGTGCCTGGCGCCTGGCTCTCTCAAAGAGCCGATGAAAGAGACAGAAACAGAGATGAAGAATGTCATCCCCTGAAATACAAAAAGATAAGTCATCAAGACTGTAATGACGGGGTGAGGCTAGGAGGGGTGGGCAGATAGGGGAGGAGACAGATGATACTCATAAAAATCAATCACCCAAGTTTTAGTAAACAGCAACAAAAATATGTCACCAGAACTGATTTTAATCAGCAGTTTTAAATTATAGTCAAAACACTTACTTTAAAAGCATCTTTTGGGGTTTATCACCCACAAATAATCAATTGTGGGTGATTTCTGCTCAGATGACAGTGTTTTCCACTGTCCTGTAAACTACTCTCACATGGTATGCATAACAAACAGCCCATTTCTGACTAAAAGGTTTTTCTTTTTTTCTGTGCAGCCGTTTCCACAAAGCAAATTACTAAATAGGAGCTAATCTAGGCTGCTATGAGGCATATCAATGTAAGAGCACTATCTAAAAATGTTCTTTCACCAATGACTGGGCATTAGCAAACAGGGACTGTTTGGAAGTGCCCAGCTCATTGGAGAGGATTTAAAGTAAAGCAGTGTCTCTGTGACTTTAATGGGAACTGAATTAAATGACCCCTTAAGGGGCAAAAAAATAAATAAAAAAATACTAAGACAATGAACTTTGTTAGGATTCTATTTGCAGGGACTGCCATATTTGACTCACAAATAGAAAATGTTATCATGACTCTGATACTGTTTCCCTATTCTTTGTTCGCAGGAATTAAAGGGGATTTAAGGGTGCAGTGGGTAGACATCATTTTCAGACTTCTCTTTTACTATTCACCTAGACTGAACCCATTGAGTCGGGCCTTGCATATATATTAGGATGATCAAGACTTGGTGTCATATATATATATATANCTCTCTGAAAATTTAAGGCATCATCTACAACCTCCAGGTGTCACGTACCGGGCTTACATATTTCACAAAGGAGTTAAATACGGCAGAGTTAACCAAATAAAGTGTTATTTATATTTGACAGCGACGACATGTGAGTGCCGGAGAAATATGAAGCAGAATAAATCTGGGTCTTTATGTCTGTCTCCTTATCTCTCGTTTTTCTCTCTTCTGCCATTTTTGTCAATCTGCACCTGACTTTACCTTGATATACACCTCACTCCTCCACTCAGCGAGGCACGTTTCAGGCTTGTGTCAGTACATACGATCCCACTGAAGCTTCACGCCATCGATCGGGACAAGAGGAATTAGCGGTGTCCCGCTGTGACAGCTTTGCTCCTTTAATAATTATGGATAACTTATTAGCATTGAGTGTGTAGGGGATTGTAGTTAAAGCTATCAAGGGATTGACTTAGTGTGGTCACTGGGTGAAATTAGTAGCTTCTGGTTATCACTAGACCTTTGCTTTTATATGATGCAAACTGTGATCATATGGTGTGGGCTAAAATGTCCAAGAACTCCTTGCTGATGCTAATTACTACCAATTTCAATTGCATGGTATTCTGGGAAATCACTAAATTCTGGCATTGTGCATTTACAGATATTTAAAAATTTGTGTATTTTGTGTAAAACATATATAAAAATATTCTAAATCGGCACTGTAGCACCACAGTCCCCTAAAGGCACATATGTCAAACTTAAGGCACACGGGCCAAATCTGGCCCTCCATGTCATTTTATGTGGCCAACCAGAACTCCACATGCATATGGTTGTTTTAAAAAATCCTGTCATTTTATGTGGCCAACCAGAGCTCCACATGCATATGGTTGTTTTAAAAATAAGAAGTTGACAGCATATATTTCATCCTCAGGTTGTTGCACTACTCTGTTTAAAAAATGCTAATCCTGTTTGGCTTGAAACTGAGAGTGTGTGAGTATGTTTCATTTTGGCCAATCGAGCGATCGAGTTTGACACCTAGGGGTTATACAATGTCCCAGTTGAAAACCTTTGCTTTAAGGTCATCTTGTTCCTCATCAATGACATGTTTAAAATCCTACAGCACATTTCACTCTGAGTCATGATCTGTGCCCATCCCCTCACAAAACAGAGTGGGTTCTACATCCTCGGTCCATGACCTTTAGGTGGACACTGCATAAAGTCAGCCTTGTGAGCCCCAGCCCCATTCAGCCTGTCCTTATGAATAAACATTGCTGTCTTCACAGGAAAGAAGAGTTTATCTGCTGTCATGGCAGTGCAGCCCTCTGAAAAATGAATTGGCTGATAGAGAGAAGGTGGCTGGCGTGGAGTTTATACTAACGTAGAGTAATGGGTGTTAAAGTCAAAAGAGTCCGAGCTAAATCCAAGCAATCCTCGAGCACATCCACACGGATTTCACCGTCACACGTGTTTTGTCACAAGGAGAAAGAAAATAGTTCTTTTTGTGACGTCACATTTTCTTGTCTTGTCCTGGCACGTCCAACATTTTAACTGTTCAACCGAATATTCACAATCAACCGTGTCTAATGGTGCATGCTGTGTGTGACTCAACGTGTGTGTGTGTGTCCAGAAAAGGCACTCACTTAAGTTCCAGTTAAGTGCATGAAAACTTGTGACCGTCTGCCATCAGACGTCGTGTGACACCATGAGTAACGTCATATTTGTGTGGTTACAGCATACAGTCAAGTGACCGGCTGAATCTGCTGCTCGTGTAAACATGTTTGAGACAAGACAGCTTAAAGGGGAGGGAAGAGAAGGTCATCAGAAGAAGCAGTAGCTTATTTTAGAGTCATAAAGAAACTGGTCGAAGGAAGAATGCTGATGAAAGAGGTGAATCTTTGCTTAACATGAGCCAAGTGTGAACACTTTACTTCAGTTATCACGGTTCAAATGGTTGGGTTTTCCATGAACATCTGTTATGTCCTAAAGTCTCTTGAAAGCAGCGCCCGATCTTGAAAGACTGTCAGAGAGTCAGAGAGTTCCTTTTAGCCACGGTAAATAAAATGTAGTCTCTACAGGTGCACGAGCGAGATGAAGGGATTTCATCTTTAAAGATGAAGAAAAAAACACCCCCAACAACAACACTTCACTGTAACGTGCATGGACCGGCAACAATCCATGTTGTTATCTGTCATTCCCAGAAGATAATATATAATCTGCACACCAATAATTGCACAACAGGTGCCACTTTGACCCCAAAACGGCACAAATGTAATTGGACAGTATTTCCATCTTCTGTGACAACAGGAAATATGAGTGTCTTTTAAAAATATCCAGCCTCAGTAAAAATACTTTAAATAGGTAAAATGAAGATGGGAACAGTTAAATTAAATTAAAATTAGAAAATGGGTTCCTCCAACTTTGAACGTAATATTGGCTTGTTAAAGGAGCTAATTACCTGATATTTCATACTGGGGGACGCCATCCTGGGAGAAGCCTTTCCCCCTGTAAAACTGTTTGATATCCGTACAACTACGCGCTTTGCTCGTCCCTTTGTCTCCACAGGCTGGTGCCGTCAGTGAACACAGTGCCAGAGCTGCTATGATGAATGAATCCATCCCGGCTGGCTGCTCTGTACGGACTCAGACAAGTGCAAATCCGACCAAGAGGCGAAGCGAGTCTGTTGCGTCCTGGACGGAGCAGAGGAGACTGAACCAGAGCTACTGGGCGCTGCTGCTGCTGCGCGTAAAATATCCTCCACCTTCCTCTGTCCCTCCTGCCCTTTCAGTGCGTATGCGGGGTATGTGGCTGCTGCTCTGTGCGCACACTGCTACTACTCTGCACAGGAGCCAATCGTCACAGCGCAGAGGTCCGCTCTGTTTTACCAAAGACTGGACCTTTGATTAATTTGTCCCCAGAAGACTTGTGCCTATCTCGTCACGTCGCACTCGGGCGCACAAGTCTCGTCTAATACAGTACATCCACTGTTGATTTTTTTTTTTTTAATTAGTTGGTTCGCCTGCAGGGAGACAGATGTAGGTGACGCATTTGTAGCTGATATGATTTAAGTCATGTCAGAACATAGTATTGCGCTGACGCTGTGCAGCCTGGTTCTGTCGCCGCAGCCACCGCACGTCCACCGGCTCTGACAGCCCGGAGGGATCTGAGTGAAAGAAGAAGAGTGCGGACACCGTGCTGCTGCTGCTGCAGCCCAGAGTTTACTGAGAGGTGCCAACGTTGCCACCACTTTGTGAGAGCGAGAGAGAGAGGGAGAGGGATAAAGAGAAAGAGACACAGAGAGAAGGAGAGAGATATAGAGACGGGGTTTCACATTCATCCTGCTGCTGTTTCCATTTGCTTTGTCGTATCTACTGTCTGTATTCTTTGTAAACATGTTGTGTGGACACAACTTCAAATGTTAGGAGTTGTCTATGAGGTGGAGTATGAAAGAATTGTCTAAAGGAAACTATAAATATAAACAAAATACGTTCTATTCTAAAGCGGTTAGAGCTCTTACCTTACTACATAAAGGTCACCTGTTCGATCACAGTGGCCACTGATGGTCTTTATCAATAAAGTTACCTTGTTGTTCTTATGCAGCAGTTCCCCATCACAGTCTGGTCTATCTTTGTCTGCTAAAACTGAAGTAACAGCGTCACCTCTGCCAAGCCTGTGAAGACAGTGATCAAATTAAATACTGCCCGGTCAATATAGGTGATTCTTCTGGTCTGTTCATGTAGTAATTTTAAAAATACAGTTTTATCACAATGCTAGAGGTGTACCGTATCACTGATACAAACTCACTGCTATAGCAGCCCATTCAATAGAACGGGTCCAGGGTGCGATGTCTACCTTGACTACATGTTCAGACGTGTTGGTCATGAGGAGGACTTCTTATTTGTGGCACACCAATCTCCAGCTCCAAAACAAAATGTACGACTTGTTCACGTGGAACATTTCAAACCAAGTTTAAGGAACGGATGTATCAAAAACAACAACATCTCTTCGGAAAAACATTTCCACGCTTCACCTTTGAGCTTTGACAACATCTGTCATGCTCACAGTGCATGCTCAAACCAAGGTTTTTTTTCCATTTCATGAGGTCATCTGGTTCTCAGTACAAGAATGCACGCAACGCCTGTGCACAGCTTGATCTCCAACAGCCAGGTGTCACACAGGTGAACTGTGGGCGTACCATTGACACCGCGGCACCCACCCATCCACCGGTGGCTGTCCTCCACTCTACAGAAAGTACCTGCACAAACACCCGGTGTCACTCCTCAAGGTGCAATTAGAGAGCCAACAAGCCACTGCCTGCCCAGAGCCTTTCCCAGTGTACCTGTCACCTGCTGAATGCCTCCTTTATCTGACTTTCTGTGTATTCAGTAGGTCGCTGAATAGCATGAGCATGAAAAGGTTTAGGTTAAATCCTGGCCTGACAGAATCTGTAGACAAAAGATGATGGGAAACCTCGACTCTGTTCACATCGATGAAATAATGTGGGCGTCCTGATTCAGTGTTTCCTAAACTTCTCATGGAAGATGTGGCCCACTATGTGAAGACAGCAGAACATAACGACCCACTCTAAGACAGTTTTGGCTAAGGTACTGGAAGTGAGAAGAAAAAAAAAATCCAAAAAATTGGAGAGAAGGATACAAATGTCACTCTGAAATAAATCCCCAGGACTGTATATGAGTTAAACAAACAGCATTTCAATGTCATCGACTCACTGAAACAGCAACATTCAGAGATTGAAATGATAACCCCAACCTGAGCATTTCAACAGAGCATGAAAGCAGCCTGAGCAGGTGGATTACGGTCAGAGTACAAAGCAGGGTTTTTAATAAAAGAGTCAGTTTGCATCATTTTGACACTGTGCCCTGTGGAGAAAGATAGAAAGAAAGAAAAGCACAGGACCAAAAAAGGTAGCAAGAAAATGAAGCGGTTGGATATTGTTTGCTAAAGGAAATGTTTTTCAGGCACAGACGACAAATGTAAAAACAGTTAATGGGATAAAAATTCAGAACTGGGACACTTTTGGCAACAACAGCCTCACAGCGGACTTCTGATCACGACAAAACCTGAATGGCTCTTCAGTGGCGTAGAGTTCAAATAGAGAAAATTGTGGCCTAGATGTGTGGACATCGATTTGCTGATGCATGGCCCACATGTCGTCACTGCGGATTATTACTACACTGCTATTGTTGTATTGTTATTTATAAACCGTTAGTTTTATCTCTGTGTTTGTCTTATGCTGACATTTTCTCAGGAGTTTTTTGCAAATCAATTCTCAACCCCGAATGCTTACAGCGGAACATGGAAAGTCTTACAGGAAAAAGTTAGTTCTTCCCATGAAAGGGAGGTTTCCAGTGTTCATACAGTGGACGATCACTGAAGGAATTTGACTAATACATGAAAGTCTTTCAATTTGTTCCTTGCTTTGGATTGTTTCAGTAATTTCCTTTCACTAATTTCAGGTCCAGTCCCTTGACTGCCAGTGGTAGTTGTGGTATTCCAGTGTTTTAGTTGAAAATGTCAGAGCAAAAACCTAGACTCTGCTCTGGCTCTTCTACTGATTAGACTTTTCTGGCTGGTTTAGCATCTGCTACATGCTATTCACGTGGCAGTGCACAGCTGAAAGTTTAGGTAAAATAGGAATTGATAACAGAATACTTTGCTAATGTAAAATAAAATAAAATGAAAATGGCTGCACTGTAGACATTATGTCCTGGAAAGTTGTGTTACAGCATCAGAGAGATAAGGTTCTCATTCAGTTATCCCCAGTCATCACTGTGGGGCAAATTGAATGAGATAGATTCTGATTGTATCACTCCAGTGGGAGGTGCATTTTTAAAGATTGCATGCCAGAGAGGACACCACCGCGCATTATCACACTGACACACGGAGCAACGAGCATAGTCTGAAATAACCAGCTGTCACACAACAAAACGAGAGCCACTGCTGTGGTGATGCCTGCGTCCCACATCATTCACCTTATTTCTAGCAGCAAAAAACATTACATCACAGGAAACATTCCAATCACATCCCTTACAGTCTGTTCCAGAAAACAAACTAACAAACACTTCCCGTCAGCGCACTTGTACGATGAGTAACGATGATTTAGAGAACCGATGTTTGCTGTCAAATGTTGGAAGATCTGCAGCATTTGCGTGTCAACTCTGTCAAAACTGACACTATAAAACGCTGCAGTGTGTCTGCCAAAGTTTAGAACTGTGGAAGGAGTGCCACACAGCAAGCTTTTCTAATTATGTGTAATACCATTGCTTCACTTTTCCTCCCGCCAGAGGGGAATACCAGGCAGAGCTAAGCACGTGGACAGAGGTTAATAAGACTGGTGGCCTCAGAGTGTGTGTGTGTGTGTGTGTGATAATAAGTCCGTCTGTATCCGTGACCTTTACGTGTGTATGTGTTATGTGATTTTATGTGTCTGACTGTGACTCCCACATGTGGCCATAGGTCGGCGGTGCTGTGAGGGAAACTCAATGGCTGTCCACTGCCTGGTATGGAGATCATGTAATTAACGCTCAGTAAAGCTTCAGAGTTGCCATGTTTTCATCAGACTGACTCCCATTGAAGTTTTATTGGCCCTGACCATGAAAGGCCTTCTAATGAGGAGCAGGATGCGAGGGGAAGTTTAGGAGACCCGGGAGAGCCAGAGAGGGGAGGCATAATGGTAGCAAGGAGTGAGGAGAAAATGAGGTGGGTGGGAAGGCAACTAAGAAATAGAGGCGCGTGTAAAAATCTGATTATGGCTTCTCCCAAAATGATTTATAGACGACAACTAATCTTTGAGAGATTCAAATGCACCACAGACAGAGTCTTCAGAAACTGACAAATGACAAAAGCTGAACATTTTCTGTGGTCTGCACCTCAGGTCTTGAACATTTTCCTTTTGATGGAACAAGGTACGTTTTCCTGGTTCTCAAAACTGTTAGAAGAACACACCCAGGCTTTCTTCCCCTTTCTTAAAGAATACCTGATGAGTCGTCGCACATGGCATCCCTCTGTAATTTATATTCCTCACTTTATTTCCAGTTTCTTTACATTCCTTTATAACTGTCTGAAATCTACGATGTGATTTCCCTACTTCTCTGCTAATAACCCTGTGGGAAACACATTATTGATGCACAGTAAATATTTTATGCCAAACTTTCTGAATGTTGATGTTTGTGCATTTTAAAGTAATACATGTATTTAATATTTGATGAGGTGTTTTAAGTTGCATCTTGATGCATTCTTTGTTTTCAAGGAAAGTCACAAACCTGGCCACCCATGTAAGGTAAATTGTTAAAACAAAAACGAACACGACAAGGCAGCTTATCTACATTGCTCAGTGCTATAGGAATGCTAGGTTGCTCATTGTTAGCTCTATGGTGGTCACAACTCAGCATGGGCAACATCACAGCCCCATATGCAATGAACAGGAATACAAGTAAATCATGCTCTGTCAGGTTGAAATGCGCTAAAAAAAAAAAGACAAAAAAACAAAACAAGAGTAAGTCATGACTCACTCTAAAAAAAAAAAAAACTACTGTCATCGCCACTATTTGTCACAAAAGAAATAAACTTGTCACAGCTTGTATTGGTTTGGTTGAAT